AGTTTGGGTTATTATTTGTTTGGGTGAAAATAATCTGCACCAATATGTTATCGAGGCATTTAGAATGAATTTCTAAATACGAATTTCTAAATTCATTCTAAATTCTATCGAGGCATACAAAAAGGTCCACAGACTTCGAGACATACGAAAAATCAAGTCCATTTAGCGTGTGTCGCAATTTTCACACCTTAAAAAATTAGTTTTTTATAGCTATAGCAACTGCAGCGACTATGAAAAAAGCTGTGTGATTTTCATAGAAAATAAGGGCAGCTGTAATTCATTTGAGAATGTTATAAATCGCTAAAAGAGGTTTCAAATCTCTTGGATTTCTATTAATATTAAATAAATTTTATTAAAAATTAGTCAAATTCCCTCATTTAAGGTGATTATTACTTATCTTTAAGAAAAATTTAAATCATTGTTGCAATTGGGCCTTAATGCCATTTCGAATGAACAATAGTATTAATAATGTACATTATAATAATAATAAATTTTATATCATAGTGTGTATTAAAACTACTAAAACACTTTTAAATTGGTATTATATTAACAACTTTTGTTTTTTAATCCAAAAAAGTTACCAATTTTCTCAATCAAAATATTTGTGGTCCTGAAAAGGACCTTCGTTTTCCCATGTTCGTCAAGGTAGGTAATGGGTAAACGGTAAAAAAACAGGATAATGAAATTTAAAAAATTACAAAAATTGTTCAAAAGTGCCTCCCTCTTGCATTAAACAATAACCCAAACGATCATAAAATCCCCTCCTCACATTGGATAACATATCAGGGGTGACAGTGTCAAAGGCATTAAATATTTTCTGCCTTAACTGCTCCAAGTTTTGAATTTCTTCATGGCCGTAAATTTTAGATTTTATATACCCACTAAAAAGAAATCATTCACTGAGAAGTCAGGTGAAATTAAACGTCAGTCTAAACAAAACTGTCATTTTTGAAAACTTGTCAAAATTTGGACAAACGCTAAATGGACTTGATTTTCCTATGTCTCGAAGTCTGTGGACTTTTCTGTATAATCTCACAGTAATTTAATAGATTGCTCGTCATATTATATCAGCTCGTAGGAGATTAGGAAAAAAAATGATATTTATAGTATAAAAAATTAATTTATTTAACAAAATGTAATTAAAGATGTGACAAAATAGTTACATTTCTATTGGTTCTATCGGACTTTTTTCGGCTATATAAATCTTTATTTTTTGTAAACTTTAATGCATAAAATATTTTCAATCTAATAAATAATTTAATGATGTAAATAAGAGGAAATTTCTCACATGGGTGGTCAAATTCTATAGTTTTCATTATATCAAACAGCCTCTGAATATTTTCTTCAGTGCAAAACTCATCAAAATTTAATATAAATAATTTTTCCAGCCTGTAAATAAAATGAACAAATTTTTCCACTTTCATGATCAAAGGCTTTTAAATGGGTAAATAATTTCGAGTTATCCAGAGATTCGGATTCTTTGGCAAATTTTAGACAAATATCACATTGACGTATTTGAAGACCCTTTTTAATGATGTAGTCAAACATAATTAAAGGCATTTTGAGTTGAAAACATTTCTCAGAGGCTGTTTGATATAATGAAAACTATAGAATTTGACCACCCATGTGAGAAATTTCCTCTTATTTACATCATTAAATGATTTATTGAAAATATTTGATGTATTAAAGTTTACAAATAAAGATTTATATAGTCGAAAAAAGTCCGATAGAACCCATAGAAAGGTAACTATTTTGTCACATTTTTAATTAAATTTTGTTAAATAAATTATTTTTTTATACTATAAATATCTTTTTTTTCCTTATAAATAAACACATTTGCATCCCATTTTAAATAAGGTATACAAATTACCAAAAACTAATAACAGAGAAATAAGAAATAGAGAAATAAGGAATAACAGTTCAAAAGTTCAACAAAAATCCTACACGCGTTTTTAAAAAGAAACATATAACGACGCACTATATCATTCCAGCAAGAGAATACGACACAGCATAGGTTTCCGGACTAAACGACTGGTGTATTTACACCACTCAATAGGCGTGTCGGGATTGCCGAGCGGTTTCCGATGCAGTCGCTTTCTTTCGCATCTGTTATAGGTAATTTGTGGCTGAACGGTCCCGTCCGCTAGACTAGCGAAAGCAATATACGACCTCGATTCTCAACTCAAACCAGTTCTTTTTACCTAACTGTTCCAAACAGTTCCAAGATCCAAACTGTTCCAAGTCCCAAACTGTTCCAAGTCTCAAACTGCTCTAAGCCCCAAACTGTTCCCACATGAATAAAACAGTTCCAGTTACACTCGTCGTTATATTTATTTTCTATGCTAATTTGTGCCGCAGTGTTTTGAAACAGCTAGAATAGTTGGACCTCGAACTGGTACAGGATAGCACATGAACTATGTTGTAAGTTCTCCTCTCAGCATACTCTGTACTCTGTTTAGTCTTGGTATTTCCAAAAATTGTTATTATATTTCTAAAACTGTTAAATTTTATAATAAATAAATATATTTTTTAGAATAGTTGTTTTGTTCAAAAGAGAGAACCTGGTATAAGCGATCCTAGCAAACAACCCCCAAGCTAGGTCACGTCAATATTGTTATACTTCTTTAGTGTTGTTTCTGTTTTTTTTTCTATTCTTAAATGAAATAAAATATTTTCTCTTAACAGTTGCTTTACTTTCGTCGCACTAATTTCGGCTACTGAAATAAAATTTTACGTAATGTTATATTAATATTATGTTTTTGCCGTTTGAAGACTCTCATTTTATCAGAAAAGTTGATTTACTTTTGTCGGATAGTGTATAATTACACTACATGCTAATCATAAAATAAATTAATATTGAACCTGAAACAGTTAACAACTTTTGCAGTTTTTAAAGTTTTAACTGTTCATTTTTGAGGAATACACTCCAAAACAATTAATTTAAAATCCTGTATGGGTTAGAGTTTATAATTTAATACGCACGGAGCTGCAGAAAGTACTCAAACGATATTTTACTTTATACGAACTCATAACCGGGTACAAAGAAGAAAATTTAATTTGGTAAATGACAGTCCGTAATAAAATTAAATGGTCCAGAATTTTTTTATTTTTGATGTAGTTGGGGAAATGAAAATGGATATACAGAGGATCCACGGCACATTTCTAAATAATTCAGATACAAAAGCCTTTATTATGTCTTTTCCAGATTGATGAACCTTTTATAGTAAGAATAAAAATAAAGAAAATATTTAGGGTAAAAGTTTCTACAGCTTTCTCCATCTTATATTTTTGGGAAACTAAAATTTTCTTTTTTCTTTTACGTACTTATGTAAAATTGTTTTCTTTTATTTTGATTTTACTATTTTTTAATAGAGTTAAAATCCGAGTCAAAGTTAAATAATTTTATAACTTATTAAATACTAATAATTAAGCATATTCATTCAGCGTGACCAGAGGCGCAACTAGGGGGGGCAAGGAGGGGCTTAGCCCCCCTAGACTCAAAATTAGCCCTCCCATATATTTGGTGCGGTTCAATAAAACTACGTGATATAGTGCGATTCTACGAGCAAAACTGAGCAACAATCGTCAGGTTCTCATGGTTGATCACCAAGGTTATTGATATTCGTTTTAAGTTTTTGATATTAGGAGTAAAAATTATACTTTTTTTGACGTACGTTTGACATTTCAGGCGAGGCACAAAAAGTAATTTTTACTCGAAATAGAACATGCAATTTTTTTCTAACGTCAGAAATAATTTGTTACACAATTTCGAATGTTGCCAAATACAGTAAAACCCCGGTTATCCGAGGAAACGTGGGGGACACCCTCCTCGGATAACTGAAAAGTCGGATAATCCGGATTTATTAAAAAATAAGCACCAGTACATACTTTAAACGGTTTATTAACATTTTTAACATGCAAATACATACATTATAAAACAGTGAAATAAGTATCTATGCGCTGATGTTTCATATTGCATCTTCTTTTTCTCGCTGCCATGTTTCTCCATCTGTTAAGAAGAAGCAAATTCGTTGGGGTTGCCTCTGATTGTTGTTCGATATACCTCAGAGCTGTTTCCAGAGAAGCAAAACCTTCTTGATGGGTAATCTTAGTGGAAGGCTGTTCATCCACCTCTTCGTCATAGTTATCGTCATCTGATTTTTAGGTTTCCCGAAAGGCGTTCGCTATTTCTTCAATATTCATTTCTTCTTCTAAATCATCTGCTGTAACCCATTCATCAACGTCTTGTCTTGTCACATTTTCGCAACCTTTCAAGTTTTGCATTAATTCTTATAAACGTCCTTCTTCTCCTGTCTCGTTTAAATTTGTACAGGACGTTTCTCCACGGCTTTTCCATTTCAAAGCCAATTCATTTAATGGAATATCATCTTCACTGTTGTTATAGTCCTCAATATCAATAACTTTCGACCAAACCAAGATTTTTGAATAGTGGAACAGCGTACAGAATCCCAAGCTTGGCTTACCCAGTAAATAACATTTTTTAGTGTAATCTTTCTTATCCCAGTGATAATATCCTCTTTTTTTCTGTGCATTCTAGTAGATGTTCAAGATATAAACGCCTATATTTTTTTTATGTTTTCCAGGACGCCCTGGTCCATTGGTTGCATTATACTGGTTACATTTGGAGGAAAAAAAATTACAATTTCGCCCACGTGGAGTCCTTCTTCAGGGTGAGAGGGAGCATTGTCCATTAACAAAATTGCTTTAATAGGGAGGCTGGTTCTCTTCAAAAATTTAGTCACAGATGCCACGAAATCTTCCTTAAACCAGTTAGTAAATAACGTCGCATCCATCCATGCACTCTTCTGACTTTTGTAATAAACTGGTAGGGCTTTGGGTGAGATGTCTTTTAACGCTTTTGGATGTACAGACTTGCCAACAACCATAAGTGGAATTTTGTGATTACCAAATGCATTGGAACATGCCATTATGGTTAATCTTTTCTTACTTCTTTTGTGCCCAGGAGCTGATTTTTCCTGTCAAGATGCCAATGTTTTTGATGGAACCATTTTATCATTCAAACCACTTTCGTCACAGTTATAAATTTGATCACATGTATACCCACAATCTTTGATTAGCTTTTTAAAGTCCTGTTTAAATTTTTCAATTGGTGACACATCAGCAGAAAGTTTTTCTCCATATATAGTCAGTTGTCGTACACCGTACCGTTTTTTCCAGCGGTCAAGCCATCCAGAACTGCCGGTAAACCTATCTGTCTCAGGAAATTGTTTACTAATCATTATTGCTTTCTGCTGCAAAATGGGACCTGAAAGAGGCACACCTTTTGATCTTTGCTGAGTAAACCACGTAAATAAAGCTTCGTTAACTTTTTCATAGTCGCCTTTTTTCATTGATTTTCTTCTTGAAGACGAAGAGGCTTGTTTTTTACACCATTCTTCTATTTTACTGCTGTTTCTGTTCCAATCTCCAACTGTTACCTCACCTACCCCATAATCTCGTGCAACAATTTTAATTGTCTCTCCTGCTTTAATTCTCCTAATGGCTTTTAATTTTTCTTCAATAGGAACGACAATTCTTTTACGTTTGTTTCGTTCCATTATAATACGGCAAACGAAAATTTAAACAAAGCAGTTGGTATACACTTAACTAAAACTCCACCCAGATAAATCATGCGAGTACATACGTATAATACTTCTCCCTAGTGAACGCAATAATGAACTGCATTCACTCAAATTTATATGCTAAAAGAGTCCAAAAATATAAATAAGGGGAACCACTCACACGGGCCAAGGGGATTCCCCGTCGGTCCCAACGATTTTAAACGGAAATATGTAAATATACATATAGAATATTTTAGAAGCTCGGTTAATACGGACCATAGACGCGCGACCTCGGATAATGAGGGTCTTTAGATTGGATCGGTTAATCCGGAGCTCGGATAATTGCGACTCGGATAATCGGGGTTCTACTGTAATATAAAAAGATTTAAAAGTAGCTCCTCGTAAAGTCATTAATACAAAGGTCCTGTTGTTTTTATTCTTCTATTTTTTTGTTATTATATTCGTTGTGTCCTCCTAGTATACTATAAAAATATCCTTATTTGTAAAATATGAAATAAAACTATTTCAGTATACAGTATAAAGTATAATTGAGATCAATTAAAGTTGCCGATTTGTTCAGTCAAACAGACCTTTGTATTAATGACTTACTATATAACAAATTATGTCAAACTTCAGCTTAAATAGTCCCAAGTCTATTACTTTTTATTTCATTTTGACGTTTAAACTAATACTAATCACCGCATAATATTAATAGTAAGTTAAATAGACGTTTATTCACATAAAAAACTCACTCTCAATTTTTTTATTACTTTGATGAACCTTTATTACTATTTAAAATGCAATCTAATATTTTTTGGATTTCCTTGGATTTCGGTTCATTTCTTTAGATATCTTTGGATTTCTGTATATATAAATAAATAAATAATGATTTTTATTGTATAAAGAGTAATATTACAAATATACGTACAATATTACACAATAATTGGTAGGAGTTTGGCGTTTGGCTCTTCTACTCCACCATAAAATAAAAGTAAATGATTCTGCACTTAGAATTCGAATTATAAAAAAAATGCAAAAGAATAATTACAATAAAGAATATATTTTTTTTTAAACAGCTGATCATTAAAACGATTTTAAATTAATTTAATTAGTAGACAATAATGTATTATTTTTAATTAGCAAACAAACGATTTTTTATCTCAAATTTAAATCTTGAAAATGGCGGTGAATCTAGTATATCTAGTATTGGGTTTAACAATAAAGGTGCATTATAGGAAAAACTACATTTAAATTTTGAACTAGAATGCCACTGGGACTGTAAAAGTATTTAATCTAAATATCTCTTACTATGTTTCTGATCTTTTATAAGTAAAATTATAAATGGGAGGAACTTTGTATGTAGACTTTATATAATAACATAATATAAAGATATTGAAAACGTAAAGAGAGTCTAGGCTCATTCAATTTAATTAGATGAGGAGTTGCGTGCTCTATATTAGCAGATCACAAACAAATCTCACCGATGCATTTTTGTACTCTCTGTATTTTTGCTTGGTTGTAGTTTGTCAAAAACATGTGTAATAAATCTGACTAAAAATAGTCCAAATGTGGATATATCAGCGCCTTTATTAGGTGAAGTTTTGTCGCTTCATCCAACAAAAATTTCAGATTATACATGCTTTTCAATTTAAACATAGCTTGTTTGTATACTTTATTACAGTGATGTTCGAAAGTCAGGCCGCTGTCTAGGTAAACTCCCAGGTTCTTGGCAACATCGACCCATTGGATCAGAGTACCACCAATAGATAAATCTAAATTGAAACAATAAAGTTTCTACTCCTCGCATTACCTACACAAAGTGCATGAGTTTTATTAGAATGTATTATTAGTCCATGGTTACTACACCATGTTTTCGTAAGCAACCAAATCGCGTGGGTTCAAAATAGTAACAGAGTCCCCAGCATCTTGAATGGCAGTTTCCAGATATATCTGTACATCGTCAGCGTACATATGCATTTGACACTTATGAATCGCTGATGGCAAATCAAATGTGTATAATAAAAAGTAAGAGTGGGCCCAAGATGCTACCCTGGGGCACTCCATTCGTTGTCACACGCTAAAGTTGGATAATTCAAACTATTCAGCTTTACTCGTTGTGTCCTATCATTTAGATAATCTTCAAACCAAGACAATGCAGCAGTATCACATCCGATGAATCGAAGCTTAGCTAAAAGCAATTGAAAGTTAACCGAATCGAACCATCCATGGCGCGAGAAAGATCATCTACAATCTTAAGCAAAGCTGTAGATGCTCCATGTTTAGCACGAAATCCAGATTGGACCATTGGAAGAATATTGTTAGCCTCCAAAAACTCTAAAATTTGTTTATAAATTATTTTTTCGAATAATTTCGATATAGCCGGTAATATACTGATAGGTCGGCAAATCACCAAAAGAACCGGGCGTCAATACCTTAGATATAGGGAGAATATTACTTAGCTGATTTCCATGCACAAGGAAATTTACCAGATATTATTGAGCTATTGAATATATTTTTGATATGAGTTATGCAGTGTGGCAATACGAGGTTTAGCATTTTTATATTGATATTGTCGGTACCGTAAGCACTAGATTTTATTTCCCTTAGGTTAGTATAAATGTCTGTTTCATTAATTAAATTAATACTGAAATGTACATTATTGTACAGTTTGTTGTTTTGATAGTAGCTTAACGTATTAGGATCAACTTTTGAATATCCGGCCGCTGTCAAGAAATAATTATTTGTTGCATTAGGGTCACTTAGTTCTTTAGGAATATTAATAGCGATGTTTGATTTTGTAGGAACCCCCCATTCTGAAAAATCTGCCATAGTTTTTTACCATTATTTTTATTTTGTTCTACAATAAATTTAAAGTAAGCCTTTTTTTCACATTTTATAGCATTCTTAATATAATTTCTCAGTTCGACATAGTACTGGCGTTTAACAAGAGATTTGTCTTTTAGATATCTTTGAAATGCTTTTCTTTTTAATCCTATCATTTTCTTAATATTATAAGTAATATAAGGTCGATTTCGGCACGCGGTCTTAACAATGCGTAGCGGGGCATGTTTGTCAAATAAAGCACTAATCATATTATTCAATGTATTTGCTCTAACATTTATATCAGCAATGGCGTTAATATCATTCCACGCTACACAAAAAGCGTCCCGGTCAAAGTCTGCCAAGACAAAATCACTGTAATTTCTGTATACAATATGTTTAGGTTTAGGTCTATCAGCAACAAATACAAGAGAACAGTACACGAGCATATGATCAGTATTGCATCGCAACTCCACATTATCATGACAATCCAAAATCAAATTATTACTAATACATATTATATCTAGAAGTGATTCACTATCTCGCATTATTCTAGTCGGTTTATCAATTATTTGTATTAAATCAAAGTTATTTATAAGGGATACCAGTTTAATTGTACCAGTTGAATCAGGATTTAAAAAATTTATGTTTAAGCACAGAATATCTAGCTACGCAACAGAAGCCTCGTTACATGTATAAAATTATAGGTAGCAAAAGGAGACAGGCTTTAAAAGCCTGTCTCCAAATCAGATATTTTGATGTGGTAGTTTCGCTACTACATAATAGAGGGCAATAAATTTAAAAGAAAGCAAGTTTTCTACAAACAAATTTAAAAGAATTTTGTGCAGTGTTTACCATTGTGTAATTCATATCGTAATACTTCCTGATAAAGCCTACCTTCAAATTTGCTACATCATTTAAACATATTAAAATAGATCAGAGCTGTTTTTTTTTCAATTTGCCATGTTAGTTGGAATTAAATCTTATGAGCTAAATTACAATCACTTCCTGACGTTTGATTGTATAATTAAATCCTGAATTTTCATTGTAATTCGGCGACAATATAATAAGTATTGTTCTACAGAACTATTATTGTAGTTCTACCACTTCCTGACGTTCGATTGTGTTCATGCAAGTTCATATCGTATAATCGGGAAAAAACGGCGTTAGCGATAGCTATGAAATGAATATCGCTGTCATTTTATATGTAAATTTATATGGGAAATGTCATCGATCGTCCTTCTCCAGCCAACTGGACGCCGTTTTTTCAGAAGCATAAGTGATACCATAATATAGTACTATATTACGATACATGGCGTTCGATTGGGCTTAAACTTAGTATACTATATCTTCAGTGACATTGTAATATCATGGTACCATGAAGCATATAAAGTGGTACCTTCTATTGTACCATATTTGATGACATAGCAATATTAGGTACATGGCGGCAATAGGGCTTAAACTTGGTATACTACGTATTTTCGGTGACCTTGTAATATGATGGTACTATGATGCATATAATCTGGTACTATAATATAGTACCATATTATGTACATGGTGTTCGATTGGGCTTAAATTTGGGATACTACGTATCTTCGGTGATATTGTAATATTATGGTACCATGGAGCATAATAAGAGGTACCATAATATAGTACCATATTACGATACCATTTCCTGGCGTTCGATTAGGCTTAAACTTGTTATACTACGTATCTTCGGTTACATTGTAATATGATGGTACTATGATGCATATAAAATGGTACCTTAATATAGTACCATATTTCAATACCATTTCCTGGCGTTCGACTGAGCTCATATTTGATATATACTTGCGTATTTTTGATGACATTGCATTATTATGGTACCATGAAGCATATCAACTGGTACCATAATATAGTACTATATTACGTACATGGCGTTCGATTGGGCTTAAACTTGAGATACTACGTATTTTCGGTGACATTGTAATATGATGGTACTATGATGTATATAAAGTGGTACCTTAATATAGTACCATATTACGATACCATTTCATGGCGTTCGATTGTTCTTAAATTTTGTATACTACGGATCTTCGGTGACATTGCAATATTATGGTACCTTAAAGCATATCGAGTGGTACCATAATATAGTACACTATTATGATATTATTACCTGGGTTCGATTGGGCCCAAATTTGGTATACTTGCGTTTCTTTTTTATAAAGATTTGTTTAATTAATAATTTTAATTTATTTTACGAATTTTAATTTATTGTTCGATGTCGTGACAGCAACTTTTATGCCGTACTAATATATTATTAAATGTACCTGTGTCACTTTTTAAAATCTACCTAGGTCTATATAAATAACGTGGCAAACGGAAGAAATTTGTTATTATAGTATTTTTTAGTCAGTTAACATTTTTTTGTACTGCATTTTAATAAATTATTTCATTATTATTATTAAACTTATATTTCATTACTAACGTTCCAGCATTAATAAATATCACTATCAATCGCCCTGTATATTATTAATTTTAAAGGTAATTAAAGGTATTTTCTTAGTTAACATTATAAGGTAGTGTATATTAAAAATGTATATGTTTTGTAATAATATACTTAAAACTATTTTAATAGCCAAAGGAATAATTAATATAAGTGTATCTTACAGGAAAAGAAGAATAGAAAGAAACCCATACTGCATTATACACCAGAAAAAGAATGGGATGCCAATTAAACTCTTTTTGAATCTGGCAACTGTGAATTTCTAGCCGAGCTTCAAGGCCGTCGACGTACCGTCGATCTAAAACCGAAAAATGAAAATTTCCAAATATATTCTGATTATGATATTGTCGCGCCATCTAGTATTTTATTTATGCAATTTTTGCTCTTTCATTTTGAGTATTTTTCTGTTGCGTAGCTAGATATTCTGTGGTTTAAGTCACCCATCAATATAATAGATTCAGTCTCAAGAAGTGCCATCTCTAGAGGTTCGATCAGTTCATAAACGCTATTTAAACTTGCATATATTTCTTTGGATTTCTGTGTATTTCCTTGGATTTCTGTGGATTTCTTTAGATTTCTTTGAATTTGTGTGGATTTCCTTGGATGTATTTATCAAAAGTGGATTTCTGGTGTACACATTTTGGTCAGGTGTTTACCCCTCGACGAAAACTAATGTCGGTCTCTGGAGTTCAATTTTTATCAAAAACATAATATTGAATACCGCATCGATATCTGTTACCATTCCAAAAATATAGCACAGAAGGTTCCATAATAAGAATATTTAAATTTAAAAACTTCAATATTTGAAATTTCTACTATTTTATCAAACCGTTACGCATTTAATCAATATTTTTTGGGGACCGATCCTTACCGTAGGTTACCAAGATGGTTAACCTTTCTTGGTATACCGGGTGCGTCTCAAAAGTGGCTCACCCATATACAGGGCCGGCGGAAGGAAAATATTGAGACCGGGCGAGTACCCTATCTGGCGCCCCCCCCCCCTCCTTAACAGTTACTATAACTCTCTGTTTCCTTCAGTCCTATACTTTAACTACAAACTAAGCATATTTATGCTACTTTAACAACATATTTTCACTTAAAGATACTTCAAAATTCTTCTCTACGTTCAATCTTAGTCTGCGATTGTTGTTTTTTCTACACCGGTCTCGAAAGTGACTCACTCCTATAAATTTCTTATTTTTTTAGATAAAAAAACGAGCTTTGGTGTGTTAGTATATGACATATATTAGGTTTGATTGACGTATTCAATGGTTTTTAGTCATTTCCGGTCAAACAGGACACTTTTGATTTTTAAATGCACCCTCGGTATATTTCTACTTTATTCCAAAAGAAAATTGACATTCTGAGTAGAATGGCTATCATATATCAATTTTGACATTTTCGCTTAAAAAAATCGTATTTTAAATTTTAATCTATAGTGCCAGGGCTGTGTTAAAAATATACAAATTATAGGGGGAGAAACTTCTGAGACGCACTCGGTATAGGTAGAGAGCATAAGAAATAGAATGCCAACTTCGGCAGTCTCGTTCTGGTATAAGTGATCTTTGAAAACATAGCAGTATTTAATTGCAAGCAGTTACATTATTTTTTATTATATTTTATTATTAAGAATTTAAGAAAATTTTCCATTCTTTTTCACAAACAATTACATATTTAGTGCAGAATCGGTATTATGATCAGACAGTTTTGTCGGCTGCAAAATGAGGATCAGTCAATGTTTGAGATGCATTTCTTTGTGAGAAATTTTTCTTTGTGTGATTCCTCTAATAAGAAAATTTTACAATTTTGCTACCATTTTCAGTGTATTACTACATATTCAATCCGGAACAATAAAAACCACCAAAATATTGATATCTTTCCCACTACTAGTAATAAATTAATTTAATTAATGAGGCAAATTTATAAGTTTTTTTTTGATAATAAGGATATCGGGATCCTCTTCAGCTTCTTGCGAATGAATATTGGCCGCATATAACTTTTTTATTTCTTGTTTTTTTAGATAAAAAAACGAGATTTGGTATGTTAGTATATGACATAAATTAGGATTGATTGACGTATTCAATTGTTTTCGGTCACTTCCTGTTTCACCGGAAATTACTACAACTTTTGATTTTTAAATGGCATCCTCGGTATTTTTTTTACTTTATTTGAAAGAAAATAACACTTTGAATAGAACTACATATAATATGGCAATTTTTGACATTTTCGCATATGGTGTATTTAAAATTATAACTTGCGGTTCGTAGCGAAAATTTGACTGGAAGTACCAAGTGTATGGTATCAAATTATTCTTAAAAAAATGCTTTTTCCAAATATGCTAATGAGCCACCCGCGTTTCATTCGAAAAAATTGAGATATTATTAAAAATACGATTTGAGCATTTTCTAACATTAGACGTGTTTTTAACATAGCCATGGCACTCTAGATTGAATTTTAAAATACGATTTTTTATTACGCGAGAATGTCAAAAGTTGACATATGATATATCATTCCATTCAGAATGTTTCTATGGAATAAAGTAAAAAAATACCTAGGGTGATATTTAAAAATCAAAAGTTGTAGTAATTTCCGGTGAAACAGGAAGTGACCAAAAACAATTGAATACGTCAATCAATTCTAATTTATGTCATATACTAACATACCAAATCTCGTTTTTTTATCTGAAGAAATAAAAAAGTTATAAGGGTGAGCCACTTTTGAGACGCACCCGGTATAGGGTGGCGCATCTCCTACGACGCACAGGCTCCAAGGAGAACGACAGTTTGTATTGAAATGAAATTTTGTGAGCATATGTAGGTTAATTCAGAGCACTTATTAAAATATAGAGAATTCTACAGGGTGTCCCCCAAAAAAGTTACATATCCAAGTTGTGATTTTTGAAGTGGAACACCCTATATATTAATTGATTTCTGAATTCTACGAGAAAGATAAAAGTGAGTTTTATTAGAGAAGTATATGACTAAAATGTCAGGGTTTTGACATTATTTAGTATTTTCTAAAAAAAAAGAACAATTTTTAAATTTCAATAAAAACTGTCTAAGTTGGAATTTACCCGGTATAACCTAACATCTATATAGTTAAAATAACTACTGTACTTTAAATCAAATTAAAACTTGACCCAAAAAATTATACACGGTGAGACAAAATTAATATGAAACATTGGTTACTTTAAAAGCAAGTTACTCTTTTATTTAAAATGGAACACCCAGTGTATTATTCCGATATTCAATGGGGAATTCATGTCACTTCAAAATATTATTAGGGTTGTCTACCCCTCAAGCAAAGATTTTCCTAGATATTTTCATTCATTCAAAACACAACTTTGATGTGTAACTTTTTTTGGGGACACCCTGCATAACTTTATATTTCTATAAAATATTTCTTTCAATTAACGTACATATGCTTCCAAAATTTAATTTCGATATAAACTACCGTTCTCCTTAGAGCCTCAGTGTCGTATGGGAGGCGGTACCCTGTATTCTTTGTATAATATTAACCTATCCTTACAACGGAACACAACCACAAAAACATAACCATAAAGTTTATTTCACTCAAAGATTACAGATTATCTTTCGATTATTTAGTGTCACCAGAGGTGTCACTATTGCCATTGTCAATTGACATCTGCCAATAAAATCAGCATACGAATGATAAAAATGTACTCGACTTCTATATCGTTAAGCCGTTTATTAATAACTGCCTCGCTAAACCAAATTAGAAACTGCAGTTGCAAAAATGAAAAAGAAATTAAAGCAACTGATATTAAAACTCCTAGCCATATGAATAAAGCGTTCAAACCAGGGGAGCGTCGACCGTTTTCACCGTTTCAAGACACTAAAGGTAAAGTTTTCTTATTATAAAGTGATGAGCAAATGGAGCAAAACCAAGATCCAGACTCCCCTAGTCTTGGTCTTGCTGCAAGACTCTTACAAGTCTTGCATTTGTTTAATATATTTTTACTGGATGCACTTTCTACATACAAAATATATAAATAAATAGAATTTTTAATAATTCAATGCAAATAAAGCTTTCAAGAAAGAAATTATGAGAACATGTTCATACAAAATTTTTATTTTTCAATAAGTCATCTTGAATTAGCATTTCTGTTTTAAAATGTTATGCCGGGAAAACAATTTGTAGTAAATTAAACTTTTGGTCTTGTTTGTTTTCTCTCGGATTTCTATACCATAGGTCATTATTGGTTTGATGCATGCAGGTCTTGTAAATTTTAATTTTGCTGTCTGTTCGCATGAAGGGGTTTGTCCACACAATTTGCCTCAGACATCCTGACATGACCATTGCTCTGTTTATCTGGCTTCTCAGATCTTTCTCTGGATCATGGTAGTAAGTACGACATATTTATTCCTAAGTATCTGAACTGTGATACTTGCTAATAATTTTGTTTTCTACTACCAGTTTGCATCTTACCGGCTGTTAAGAGAAAGTTAAACCTTTATTTTTTTATGTAGAGATAATCATATTTAATTCTCGGCTTACTTGATAAGATTTATGAAGCTGTCTCTGCATATCGTCCTCTGTCTCCGCGATGATGACTGTATCATCAGCATAACACACCATGCTAACTCTGATGTGTCCCATTCGATAACCGATAATTATCGAGGTCACCTTTTCTATGATGATGTCCATTAAGACATTGAATAAGAAGGGACTAAGGTTGTCTCCTTGTCTAATGCCTCCTGGTGTTGGTATGTCTTGTGTTAGATTATTCCCTCCTTTCACTTTAGTTGTGTTATCGATATTTATTTTTCTGATGATTTCCACAATATTATCAGGCAGTTTTTTCTCTTTCAGTATATCTATAATGTCAAATAGGCGTACTTTATCGAATGATTTAGTCAAGTCGATGAAACAGATACAGGCTGGTGTACAGGGGCGGATACACGAATTTATTTTAAGGGGGTCAAATAAGAAGTAATGTAAAATATGATTTTCAGAGCGCCATTTTTAACCCAAAACCCTAATATTTAACTCAATTTATAGATTTTAGGGAAGGTCAACCCCATGGACCCCCCTCTGTATCCGCCACTGCTGGTGTATTAGACGGGTTTTTTAAACTGTGATCTCACGTTTCACTAATCATGATAGACATCTTCAAGAGAAGACTAAAACCTTTAGCTATCTTTACGTACCGGGTACCTTGGTTATTAAAGATGAACACAGTCAAACACCATTATAATCGAATAAAAACGGCGTCAGCGATGGCTATGAAATGAAGATTGCTGTCATTTTATATGTAAAATTATATGGGAAATGTCATCGATCGTCATTTCATAGCCATCGCTGACGTCGTTTTACGGTATAACGATTTGCTGATGATTCTGACATAGTTGAGAAAACGGACCTTAGACCTACAGACTTTATGAAATTGCTTTTCTTTGTCATGGTAAATTTGTAATTTTAGTATAAATAGAGAACATCTGGGATTCAAGCACGTTTATAATAGCGATGGGAAAAAAACGATTAATTTCAATAATCGAATACTCGAGTTTCAAGCGATTGCAATAACCGAGTGATCGCTCGAGCGAAATATCACTCGTAGTTAAAAATACGGGTTTTCGCCCGTCGCTTATAAGTACTTATTTACTTTAAATACGCCACCCAGTAAGTTGCGTGAATCAGGGCACATATTCTTTCGGTGATGAATGGCAAGTAGCAAGCGACCATTTCTTACCTGATCGCTTGATTTAGTTTATTTCAAAGCATTGTCGATGTAATTCGTAAAATTTTGTCCCTCAGATACGCAACGGATATTATACATTTTGATTCACCACATACGACACAAATATTGTAGCTAACAGATGAGATTTATTAGTTTTGGGTTCGATGAAGGACTATTAGAGCCCATTTTTAAAAATAAAAGAAAAGATACAGAGTGTCCCAAATAAGTAAAAATATCAAAGTTGTATTTTTTAAATGGAACACCAGTATTTCCGCATTTTTATTTCTACGATTAACTACATAGGTAATTTGATAAAGGTTTATTATTCTAAATAAATACCGTTTTTGAAATAGAAATTTTACGAAATATAATAATAAATTTTAAGGCTTCATTTCTCCGAGGATATCAAACACACTATTTAATACTAAATATTTACTTCAGTTTATTTATTGATCAGTTATTGTGTTGCAATAATTATTATTATATCACCTTATACAGAGTGTCTAATTTTATGTAGTTTGAATAATGAAATTATTTAATTTCCTCTAGAACACCCTGTATATTTTATGAACAAATGCACAATTTAATTGTTTAATCAAATTGTATTACTATATCTTACCTATACCTTCAAGTTTACATAGAAAAATTTGCATTTTCTTATAATTAATCTCATTTATCAATATTCCCATGGAATATTGACATTTTAGATTGTTTTTATAACAAAATGCATTTTCTACGGAAACTTAATATTATCGGTTTTACTAAATACAATAATATTACAATTAAATTGTGCATGCTAAAAGAAAACGATTTAAATCTTTATAAACAAGTTATACCATTAATTAAATTTACCACCAGTATTTCCGAAACTAAATACAATTTAACATACATACTTAATTGTGTTCTTTAATAAATTATTCTGCATAAATGTGGATTTGAATGCAGTACTTTCTACGTATAATAAATTTACAAGAGTACACTTTCATCGGCATTCCCTCCTACAATATTTTTCTGTCCCAACCACTGAAGGTATTTTTTATATTCCTTTTGTAAATGGATTCACTTTTAGGTGGAAGTAACGCTTGTCGTGTTTCTTCAGCTTTTTTTAATATTTCCTCCATATTAATAAAATCGTACTCGAACGTATGCCGAATTCTTGCGAAAGGCGTTTTTTTGACAAAAACTTAACTCGATTAATAACAACCGTCAATTTATAAACAGGTCATTTAATACAATAGTAAGTTAACAAAATGAACGTCTCTGTTGTTATAAATAAGCATTTGTCAACAAATTAAATATAATTTTTGGTGTTACTTTTACCACACTGTCTAATACACATACATAATTCAGTTTTTTAGTATTTGGAGCAATTATTATTAATCAACGCAAACAGTCAATTAATTGTAGTTTGAATACTGAAATCATATTAATTGGTCCTCTTTAACAGCGAGGATAGGTTAAACAGTTTTTTTCTTCTTTTTTAATGAAATAAACGAACTAAGTCGACAATATTAGTATCTGTACTCTTTAAAAATAGTCTAAAATGTCAGTATTCCATGGGTATATTGATAAATGAGTTCTAAATTACAAGAAAATGCATTTTCTACTTGAAACTTGAAGAGATAGGTAAAAATGGTATAATACAATTTGATAGACAATTAAATTGTGCATCTGATTCGCATAAAAATATACAGGGTGTTCCATTTAAATTAAACAAGTTATTGCTTCCATTTTTAAAGCTAGTAATTATTTAAAATAAATTTTTAGACACTCTGTATAAGGTAGTAAAGTTTTTATTATTGCAATACAATAACTGATCAATAAATAAATTTCAGTAAATATTTAGTATTAAAAACTTTGATACCCTCGGAGAAATGAAGCCTTAAAATTTATACTGCAATTTCACAAAATTGAAAATATTTCAAAAACGGTAAGGTTTAAGTGTAATAAATCTTAATCAAATTTACCTTTATTTTAATCGTAGAAACTAAAAATGTAATAATATATAGGGTGTTCGATTTAAAAAAATACAACTTTGATATTTTTTATTTATTTGGGACACTCTGTATCTTGTAAAAATATTTTTAAATTGTAGCTCTAATAGTCCTTCAATGAACCCAAAACTTACAATTTGTAAAAATCTAGCCGTTTAGCTGCAATACTCCGTGTCGTATGTGGTGAACAACCCTGTATATACGGCGCGCGGCGTCGCGTCGTATAAATTTGCTACCTGCAATGTATGTAGAAAATTCGTTCGGCTTTTGATCGAGTATGTCACATTAAAATCGGATATCAATTTATTTCATTCTAGGATAGTTTGCGTTCGTCGCTTGTATCTCGTCATTTGCATCGCTCGTTCATAATCGAGCGATGTCGGTTATTTCGCTCGAGTTATCCCATCACTAGTCTATAAGCTTAATAACATGTTCTAACACTGTATTCTAGCATGTAAGTATAAACGATAAAAATCAAATTTCCTGTGTTTTTCCCTTCATGTTCCCAACAGGATTGGGATCCAATTACTTTTACATATACAATATACTAAGTCGGTATAAATACAATTTGTCGTTCTATTTATCGATAATCTTCCAGGATGGTTTGAATACAGCTTGGCTAGATTAGATGACTTACTCAATTGGGGCAGAACTAGGTCTTTATGGCCCATGACGTTTGGATTGGCATGTTGCGCAGTGGAAATGATGCACATTGCAGCTCCAAGATATGACATGGACCGGTATAAACCAATTTAAATAGATATAATCCATTTTTTCCAGGTCAAAAAAATCTGATTTACTTACTTTACGAAAATAATAAAACTGATTTGTTTTTTATATTACAGTAGGGGGTTGAAACCATTGGTCTTACAACAGCAAAATAAAACACTAATTCGCCAAAATACATTAAAACACTTTACTTTTGAACTGGATGCGCGTTTCGCTAATCATGTTAGAATCATCAGCAGATGATAAAAACTTTTAAAACTTTTAGTAGTCACTTTCATCTGCTGATGATGTTGCGCAGAATGTAGAATGAGTAAGAGGGGGGGGTTAATCACTGCGACCTTAAAGATCTATTGTCCTCCCCTTCTTTGAGTCATCATACAATCTATAACCCATCATACCCCTGTTGTAGAGGGGACAGGGTGTTTCCCATCCTCCTCTGACAACAGTTCTTCCTCCGAGGGTACACACCCTTCAACGGTTGGAGTTTTGCCCTCCGTGCCACTCTGCACAGTCGGAGAGCTTACCTCCGGCTGAGGAACCGGTGAGGTGGAGGATCTGTTTTCATTTTCTCCACCTCTTTAACTTGGTCTCTCCTTAGACCTGATACCGGTGTTGTCCCGTACCTATAATAGAGGATATATCCCTCTTTCTATTATTTTATTTATTATTGCCTCCTTGGATTTGAGGTCAATTCCTATTGTGAGGACCTGACCATGACTCTCCTCCCTCGAGTTGATGACTCGCCAACTCGATGTCCTTACATTGAAGTTCTGACCTTGGATAAGGCTCAGCAGGTAGGTGGTGTCTTTCCCCTTGCTCCTCGGCAGAAAGACCGTGATGGCCACCCCTTTAGGAATTTTTTCTCCCTTTACTGCAACCAGTTCCGGCCCTTGCCAATTAGGTGCGATTTCCACCAACCAATTCGCCGATTCTTGAGATACACAATCTATGAGAATCATGCCCACCCGAAAGTGTATCCCCGCAAAACGCAGCTGACCCACATTTTGTAGATCGTTGTGTTGCAATCCGATCACCACTACTTCGTCCAATATAGCCTCTTCTAGAGACGTTTTCTGGTCGGTGGTCAGAGCAACCTCTGGGAAACCCTTTGGCAGCACGGCCATTTTCACTTGTCCAGCAATAGCGGCAAAGCTGGTGATACGTCCCTGCTTGCCTCCCGGTGTTGGACGGCTTTCCATCCTGGCTTTTTTCTCTCCCTGTCGGAGAAGAGGTGAGAGGTTGCTCCCTCTCTTGCTCTTTGATGGAGATGAGTCAGGTTGTTTCTTGGTTTCTTTACTCCCCCTTTTCGGAGGAGTGTTTTCGCTTTTGCTTCCTCTGGAGCAAGTCCTTCGTGGAGCAGTCGGAGGTATTTCCGTGCTTCTGCTCCGCTAAGACCTGCTCTCAGAGGATCGTTTAGCCCGCCTGGTTGATCCAGGCCGGGTAGACAAAACGGTAGCTTATATCGCTTATTGGGTCTAGAGGTAGGCTCCCGACCCTTGCTGGGGAAGGTGGTAGCTTTTGTGCCACTTGTAGAGGATGATGCCAAGCAAGTGTTAGCCGCCCCTCCTGTAATTTCCTTTGGATTTGGTCCTTTGGAACTTTCATTTGTAATGTTTCCAGTGTCGCTAGGGTGTTTCCCCACAGCTTCATCGATAGTGTTTTTAATACTAGATATCATACTGTTCCCACGAGTCGCTAGGGATAGTCGGTCCACTTCTACAGAGCCCCGCATGCAGAAGTAAGGGGTAAATACAATGGAGTGCCCCCTGATACCCAAGGTTGAAGCCAGTAATGGCTAGTCCTCTATCTAGCCACGCATCCTTTTGACTTGGTCCCGCCATCGTAGGATTTAGGTTTTTGGTGAGGTTGTCTCCTCTTGGCCCAGGCGGTTAAGCCAAGACCCCCCCCCCACACCCTCTACCCGCGAGACATGATCACAGTCAGTAGAGAGTGGCTGGTATGACGGACAGGGGTAGCCTCGTCCGGCATCGTGATACATATGTCTTGGTGCAATTTCCTGGCCACGACACTACAGCCAGGGACAAGACAATGAGATGTTTCTTAGACCGAGCTAAAATGGTAGAAGAGATTCGTCCAGCACCTGACAAGGAGCTTCCCCACCAACGACAAGGACTTGCATTTCCTAGGGGAAGATCTGCTGATGATGCATGGTTAGTGAAACGCGCGTCCAGTGCAAAAGTGAAGAGTTTTGGTGTATTATAGTAAATTAGTGTTTTATTTTGTTGTTTTGTACAACTAGAATAATATAATAATAATAGTTAATATTAAATTGAATTTATTGGAGTCACAGCGTATAAATTTTTTTTTCAGCAATGAATAGCTCTAAACAACAAAAAAAAATGCCCGAACCTATAAGATAATATATCTGACTTTTTATTGGTTATGACAATTCATCTTCAGTCTTATGAAGTGTTAGATAAAATTAAAGTACTTATCAGTTCATAAGACTGAAGATGAATTCTTCATTTAGTGCAAAATTTGTATTTTAAAACGAATTAATGTCTAATAGATAGTAACCAAATGACTGGAAAATACAAATTTTGCACCAAATAAAGAAAGATAAAAAACATGTACCTCATAAGACTGAACATGAATTCTCATAGACTAAACTAAAATATGTCACATGGTGGACTGTACTACGTGATTGGCCCTGCAAACTAATAAACAATTGGGTACATTATTGCCACCACTGTCTCAAATGAAGTTTCTAAAGTCGACTATGTAGATAAAGCAAGCATATTTTTAATAGAAATTTGTAGAATCTACTCTAACAACGGCATAGTGCCATAATTTAAGCATTCAGATTGGATTATTCTAGTTTCCACTCTCTGCTGACCACATGGGCCCAGTTCTTTGGTGCCCAAGCCGACTATATAATCTCATATTACGAAAATAACTTTTGACCACTTTTTAGAATCATACTCAGAATAGGATATATACTTAGAATCATAACTCATACTAAAATGATTTCAAAAGGCCATACGAACGACAGAGGGAACATTTGATTTCATCATAATGTAGTTATTTGATCGTATAAAGAGTTACATAAAAATACCCATAATGCACTCAACTAAATACTTATTTCTTTCCTTTTATCTGATCAACTGAACTTTAAACTCCCAGATAAAGCAGTTGTTACATATTACTAAAAAATATTATTTTGCTTATAATTGTACTTATTTATTGCTTTTATAACAACAGCTATGGTGTCGTATTTCGAGCATCTCCAAGGCAGACAGATGTAATTATCGTAGCAGGTACGGTCACCAATAAAATGGCTGTAGCTTTCCGTAGGGTGTATGATCAGATGCCAGAACCCAAATGGGTTATTTCTATGGGCAGTTGTGCAAATGGTGGTGGGTAAGTATATTGAAATATGTACACTTTAACCGTTGATTGAAGAAATAAGAAGATGCGCAACCTTATGGGCGATTTCGTTAGTAAATCACGGGCTTTCGATACCGTCGTGGCTAGTCAACTTGTCCGAGATTTAGTTTAGTTCTACACCGCTGCGCGCTGGTATTTGTTTACGGCGCAGCGGATATAAGCTACGCGCACACTGACCAGCGCCGCACGCGCCTCACGAATCGTACTTTGCGCACACTGACGCGTACCGAACGAGCCGCACGCACCACATTAATCGCTCTTTTGTTTCCTTATGCCCCCACCACACCCGTATTTACCAATATAATTTCTCATCGGCCGCTTCCGGAGTCCTGTCTGCAGTGATCTCTCCCCTTTCTTTATTCCTACAAGAGGAATGTAGTGGTCAGGTGATGTGTGAGGTTTGTTTTCATAATTCACTGTCTTGTGCTTCATCTACAAGCATGTGCAGTGGCTTGTGGGTGATCTTTGATAGCTGGTCTATCCATCGGGAGGACGAGCGGCCTCTTGGTCTTTTTCCTGGAACCTTGCCCTGTGTAATGAGTCTTTCCATACAGTCAGTATCCCTCCTCATAACGAGTTATCTAATTCTCGACACTGATAAAAAATATAAAAAAACAAATATAAATTAGTAAAAATCAACCAACGCCACCAAATAACCAACCCCACCAAATAACCAACGCAAGAATTAACACCCTCCAAATAACCACGCTAGCCAACCCGCCAAATAACTAAACCAATCCAACCCAAAAGAGTGAAACCAATGCAATAAGATCACGCTATAAGCAAAAAAAATATAAAAAAAGACTTGGTCGGCGTGAGATTTGAACCACGGACCATCCGCTTACGAAGCGATAGCCTCAGCCACTGACCCACAGGTGCTCTTGCAATATGCTTATGGCTAGGCATTACTTTCCGCCGACATGAACGACGTCACAATATCTATTAACGGCATTTTAGTAGGCTACCGTTTAACGGCTGTTTAAGTACATCCAACTATAAAACATTGTACACAAAAGTAAAATATAAATAAACCTTAGACATTGCTTTCACAAGACTTGATTTTATTTATGGTCGTAGGTAAAGTGTAGTACGAAATTTATGTTGTAATGGTATACCTATTTAATTTTAATATAGTACTCCAAACATTACAAAAAACACAATAATGATTTGGTCTTTCTATTGGACATTACTTTGATACTTTATTCGGTTTAACTAATAATTTAACTATATTTTTAGGTATTACCACTATTCATATTCTGTAGTACGTGGATGTGATCGATTAGTACCCGTTGATATTTATGTCCCAGGATGTCCTCCAACCGCTGAAGCATTAATGTATGGTATTTTAATGCTCCAACGAAAAGCGAAGAGACAAAATTCTATACAAGCATGGTATAGAAAAAATCATGCGAAATGAATATACTGTATAGATTAGATACAATACTTGATAATACTTCTTATATTATTTATAATAAATTTTTCTTTCATTAGTAAAATACTCTTTCATTACGTTCTTCATTACTTTTAATTTAGCTAGCGCCAAGTAGCAATTATTGGTACAGGGTGAGTTATAAATTAGTGCAAATATTTTCAGTACTGGATTAAAAATGATACTTTTTGTGGCGAGGCTATACGTTTGACATTACAGGCGAAGAACAAAAAGTAATTATTAATCCGAATAGAAGATGCTATTTTTTTTTTAAACATTCACAAATAATTTTTTAAATAATTTCCAACATTGCAAATAATATAGAAAGATTTAAAAGTAATACCCTGGAAGTAATTATATATAGAGAAAGTATGGTTACACTAGTTGAATTTGACACTTGATGTCAGTTTAATAATATATTTTCGAACTTTTGTGCTTAGGCAGGGATGTGTCTTAGCGCCTCTCCTATTCAATATATTCATGGTAGCGCTCTCCATTATAGTGGACAGCAAACTCCAGGAGCGAGGTTTGGGCGTTAGATACGGATACGACGGCGGTCTGTTCAACATAAAAAGACTTAGGGCAAAAACACGTACAAGATTTATCACAGAACTCCATTACTCAGATGATTGTGCTCTAGTTGCAAATACGTTACAGCAATTGCAAGAAATGTTGAACACATATACATGGGCATATGAGGCTTTGGGACTTAAACTGGACATCGATAAAATAACTAAAATCATGTGCACTCCCCCGGAAGATCACAACAATGCCATAAAAATCGGAGAAGAACTATTGGAATATGTAGCGGAATTCAATTACCTCGGCAATTTGATTTCGGAAAAGGCCAATATCGACTCTGAAATTCAGCACAGGATTAGCAGCGCCACAAGAGTATTCTGGAAATTAAAAGACAGGGTTTTCTACAATCATGACTTGTGCACACAAACGAAACTTGCGGTGTACCGAGCGATAATAATTCCCTCCATGTTATATGGAAGCGAAACCGGGGTGCCGTACCGCTGACGCATGAACGCATTGAACAAGTTGCAACAGAGACATCTTAGACAACTCTTAAGAATAAAATGGTTCCATCATGTCTCAAACGTATCGGTCCTTGAAAAAGCTAACTGCGAGAGTATTAAAGTCATGATTACAAAGTCCCACTTAAGAATGGGCTGGTCATGTATGCAGAATGCAAGAAAACCGCATACCAAAATCTCTACTTTACAGTGAGCTTGTAGACGGTAAGAGGAGGCCGGGTGGACAACTCAAAAGGTACAAGGATATTTTCCACGAAAGCTTAAAGGGAATTAACAAGCAAAATGAGTGGGAAGAAACAGCTTACCATAGAACAGAATGGAGAACAATTGTAAAGGCAGGTAACAGCGACAACCAAAAAATAAAGAGGCAACAAAGCAATGAGATTTTTGAATGCCTGGAGTGCGGAAGCGAGATAACATCACGTATCGGGCTTTTCAGTCACAGAAAAGCTCATGAAAGAAAACGCCTTGCGTGACCATTTTCTGATGCGTGTCAAATACTCGTCAGCGAGTAATGGCAGTATGTATGTATGTATAAAAGTGCTCTACTTTTAGCCTAGGCGTTAAAATGACTTTTTTATATTGCAATCACGTCGCAAAAATTAATACTTTTGTGTACAAGTTGTATAACATGTCTAATTAAATTTGGATGGAAGGAATATTGCTGGTTGCTGTAGATAATTTTCTCAGGAAAAATACGTAAATAAAGAAGACTTTTTAGGTCAAAAAAAGTCAAATCAAAAAAAGTCTAATTATCTAATTTGTTAAAAAGACTGTCCTTTTCAAAAAAGGGCAGGTGGCAACCCTACAGGTAACCCACTATGAACGTCCGGCACTGCGCGGCGCGGCGCAGCACACCATCGGTCAAATTAATTTATATAGATTTAGATACCCTATATCTAGAAGGATAAACCTAGTATACCTCTCAATTGTCAATGTCATATTTACATAGATATACTCTTATTTCAAAAATGACAGATCATATTTCAATTTTATTAGTTTGACGGAACGATGAACGACAAACGGACGCCGCGGCCGATGCGTATGAACTCGACTTAAGATTTTTGAGGTTTGTCAAAGTCTTGCCAAATTATAGGTTATCATTTTGTGTCAACTTATGTCAAATACCCTGCGTTTTGGAAGATGATGCATTTTGATTCGTGTTATTAAGTGTCTTTTGAAGTCAGGTGGAGGAAAAATCGAGTGAAAATTAACTGTAGACCCAAAGCACAGTTTATAGTTAATACTCGCTGCCCAGGCAGAAAGTCTTATACACCAATAAAGTTACCATCAATAAAGTTTGTATACCATCTCGTCGTAGATAAGTGCATCTCGTATATGGTACGAGGATCGTACTAAACATATACTAAAAACTGGAGTAGCTGTAAAATGTCGACATTACACGATTGGTAAGTAATGGCTTTTAGTTTTTAGTACTGTTAAAAAATAAGATTAAAGTTAATTAATCAACCTTTAAGCAAAAGGTATAAAATTTGGGAAGCGTTATTATTAATAAAATAGTTTAGTTTATTTATGTTATTTAATTTATTCCTGTGGAATATTACAAATTTGTATTTTATTATTTTAATTTTTTTATATTTTATTTATTAATAATAAAGCGAAGTTTCTTGAAGCTGGAAAGTAAGAAATAGTTCTTTTTTATATTTTTTTGGTATAATATGGTGTTTTGTTCTTGTTTGTTTTGTATTAACGCATACCGTTTTTTGTTTAATAAAATAACTCGATTACATTTTTTCAGTATTATACAGTAATATTGTGAAAAAATTCACAATATTTTGAAGTAATCACTTGTCAGTCAAATTTTAAATATATTAATTTCCCGCTATGCGTTCCAATTGTACCAACTTATTTTTTTGAAAAATAAAATAAACCACTATGAAATTAAAATGAAAGACACGTCTATCATTGTCAAAGATCTTGTCGTTAGACAGACTATAACAAGACGTCCGAGAGGTCATATTGAATATATTTTACAAATAAGAGTTAGAACTTATTTTGAATGGAAAATGAGAGTTAATATTAACTAGAAATATATCAAAATATCAAAGACATTAAACGTATAACATATAGGCAAACATTCGTTCTATGTGCATTATATAATAAAATTCACCAGTATATCGTTATCAGCACGAAACAATCTATAAAAGATTTATCTTCCACGCCTGCCGCTCTTCTCGCGATATGGAAACCAAATAAATTACAAAGAAACTACTCCAAATATAACTTAAAATTCATGTAGCGGCACGCATTAAAGGAACATTATAACTTAATATAGGTACGTGCGCCGAAGTTTATTCTATAAATTAGAGGAGGAACAACGAACGGGAACATTCATCATGTAAATTTCCAATAGCAGCTTTGTTTGCGTAGTTTGCCGCTATAATTAACAACAGCAAGTTTTGAGGAATTATTTATATATTCTCTGCCGAGCGAGAAAGTGGGAAATACAGATTTACTTCATTAGAGTTCGAGATTTACTAATTACATTTTTATTATTTATTATACCGCATAATTTATAGGGTTAGAGTCAAAAATAAGTAGTAATTGCAGGTTGCTAAGGAATGAAAAAAAATGGCATTTTGTTTATTGATTGGGTTTAGATTAACAAGTGTGTTTAGTTAACAAGTGTTAGTTAAGCAAACTTAGTATTAGTTAGTGTCGAGGTTAGTGTTAATTAACAACTTAACTTACTAACTCTTAAGTTAGTAAGTTAAGTTGTTATTTGAAAGGAAGATAGATTTGGGAGATACGTCTTCGGTGTTCACACGTTTAATAGTCAGGATCCCATCCTCAAGTTTCCCTACAGTTAAAAAAATGTGATAAATGTATATGGATTTTTCCTGCCTTCTAAAAAAGGGTCAGGAAATAGCTACACTCCATCTATTAAACATTACAAGAAGCAGCTTAGCGATGGGATATATACCAACCATCTGGAGAAGAGCGAAAGTCATCTTCATACCCAAAATAGGCAAAACTGACTGGGCTAACCCCAAATCATTTAGGCCTATTAGTCTCACATCGTTCATATTAAAAACGATGGAAAAAGTAGTGGACAACCATATTAGAGTAAATCATCTACAGGTTAAACCACTGCACGATAGTCAGCATGCATATAGAGCGGGCAGATCCACAGAAATTGCTCTGTACCAGTTAACTGAGCTAATACAGGCAAGCCTGGATAGCAAAGAAACAGCACTTTGTGTCTTCTTGGACATTGCAGGGACGTTTGACAATATACCTCACAAGGTGGTCAAGCGATCTCTTGAAACAAGAGGGGTGAACAGTACGATAATTCGCTGGTTTTGGGAAATGCTCTCAACACGAACAGCAGAGGCTGAGATAGGTAAAAAACTGTAGTTGTTAAAACAACGCAAGGAACTCCACAAGGTGGAGTGACCTCCCCTGTGGAGCTTGGTAGAGGATGAACTACTGGAAGAATTAACTCTAGCGGGAATACACTGCATAGGGTATGCAGATGACATAGTCATCATTGCACGGGGGAAACATGAAGGCACCCTGTGTGATATTATCCAAAGAGGACTCCGCATCGCTGAGAGATGGTGCGGGACTGTCGGGCTGAGTATAACCGCAGTAGATAAAACCGCAGTAGTGCCAGTCACCAGAAAGCGAAGTTTGAAAAACTTGAAAAGAATCTATCTAGATGGAAAGGAAATACTGCCACCACAGGAAGTGAAATATCTGGGAATAACCCTGGATAGTAAACTTCTCTCGAACAGGCATATTAAGAACATTACCAGCAAAGCCACAAAGGCTCTCATGATATGCAGAAGACTGGCGGGAAATAGGTGGGGCTGCGCCCCTAACATTTTGCGCTGGATGTATACCATGATAGTAAGACCCATGATTACTTATGGAGCAGTTGCTTGGTATACAAAACTAGAGCAACGTACAGCAAGGCAAAACCTGTGCAAAGTACAGAGACTGGCA